ATCCACTCACCTCAGCCTCCTAAGGCGTGGGATTACAGGCTGAGCCACTGAGCCCGGCTGTAAATACTCCTTGATTAAGAATAAACCAACCAGCGGCCGGGCTCGGTGACAGCCTGTCATCTCAGCACTTTGGGAGGCCGAGGCGATTGGATTGTCTGAGCTCGTGGGTTCGAGACCCACCCGGGCAACTTGGTGAGACCTCATCTCTACAATAAATCAAAAAAATCAACTGGGCGTTGTAGCGCAAGCCTGTAGTTCTGGCTACTTACTTGAAAGGCTGAGGCGGAAGGATCGCTGGAGTCGATCAGGTGGAGGCTGCAGTGGCAGGGAGCATACCACGGCACTCCAGTCTAGGTGACAGAGTGAGACTCCACCCTCACAACAACAAAAAAAAGAATAAACTAGCTAGGCATGCTGTAATCCCAGCACTTCAGGAGGCCGAGGCAGGAGAGTCACTCGAGACCAGCCTATGCAACAAAGCAACGTCTTTCCCCCAAGACAAGAAAATCTATTCAGAAAACAAAAAAATAGAAAAATTAGCCAAGCGTGGTGGTGTGTGCCTATCGTCCCAGCTGCTTGGGAGGCTGAGGCAGGAGGATCACTTGCGCCCAGAAGGTTAGGGCTGCAGTGACCTTTGATTGTGCCACTGCACTCCAGCCTGGGTGACAGAGTGAGACCCTGACTCAAACAACCACAACAAAAATAAAGCTTGGAGCAGATTCATTTTCTGATAAGACACAGAAGTCTTAACATGTGATTTTCATCTTTGTTTCTCTGGCACCTTCAGCAACGCAGGTGGCGACCTCATAACTAAGACGGCGCTTGAGTTCTGGCGGGCAGGGAAGACGAGGGAAGACATCCAGCTGAAGGACCTGGAACCGGTGCTGTCTGTCGGGGTCTTCAATAATAAACACAGTGAGTCCGCCAGGGCGAGGAGCCCCTTAACTGCCAGCAGAGAGCCGTCTTCTCTTTCAGTGTGCCTCACAAAGCCACGGACTCCCAGTGGCCTGGATGGCTATGCCGAGGTTGGGCATTTTCTTTGGGCATTCTATTCTAGAAGCCAGTCAGCAGGGTGTTGATCCGAATCTTACGTCAGCTTGCCAGTCGCTGACATGAAGAGCAGAGGCCTGAGGGTGTGACGAGTGTCCTGTGGGTGGCACCACCGTGGCCCTCGTGAGAGCTGCACCCGGTGGCAGGGCCGGGAGGAAACCCACTGTCTCGTTTTGCAGGTGGCCTGTGGCGCAGTGGACTCATTGACCGGAACCTCATCGATTACTTCATCCCCTTCTTGCCCCTGGAGTACAGACACGTGAAGATGTGTGTGCGGGCCGAGATGAGGGCCCGCGGTTTGGCCATTGATGAGGACATTGTCACACGCGTGGCAGACGAAATGACGTTTTTCCCCAAAGATGAGAAAATCTACTCAGACAAGGGCTGCAAGACCGTGCAGTCGCGGCTGGACTTCCACTGAGCCTTCCTCCAGATCAGGGGCCCTGCCTTCAGAAGCACTTTGAAGACCTGTTCAAGGTTTTGCATATTTGCACCTGTGGACTTCTGGGATCTTGAAGTGTCAAGATGCTGTCTGTCACGTGGACGTGCCATGCAGCATGTTAGCCGTCCAGCTGTTCTTTGCAGTTGAAGAGGAACTTTACAGTCCCCTCCCACGTACCAGTACTGACCGTGTCAGAAGTGCCTGAATACAGCTGTGTGCGGGAGGCCCGGGGGTTGTTTCTTCATTTCTGGCCCATGACACCCATGCCTCTGAAGCCACCGTCAGGACCTGAGGGGCCCAGGGCCCTGCTGCAGACTGGGGAGCACTGGGTTTCCACCTGCCGCAGACATCCTCCTCCTCTGTTTCCCTCTGTACACGGAGAGCATCCACTGACTTGAAGTGTCTTCAGTTAAAATTGGTGGTGCAGGTGCAGATGGCTTCTGGTGGAAGGACAGGCCCTGGCCACAGAGCACTCTTGACCTGGGCTGAACTGTCCACGTGAGAGATGGAGTCTCCCTCCCAGGCGTCTGCAGCAGCCCTGGGCAGACAGGTCCTTTCTGCCTTCATTGCTCTGGCTGCTGACAGCCCCGGTAGTCACCCTGTCTCACTGACCATTAGCCCCAGCCTTCCTCGTCCCACCTTGTCACTTACTGCTGGAGGTCCCTCCAGCCTCAGCATCAGAGTTGAATTAGAGTAAGACCCTTGGCTTCGACTTGGAGCCGCCGGTTTGGTGAGATGTTTGTCTATTTCACTCTAGAGGCGGGTCATTCTCTCGCCTTTTACTCCATAGAGGCATTCGAAATCCATAGGACATGCTCATTCTGCAGGACTCTGGCCCAACAGCAGTCAGCTTGCAGAATCTGCATTGCCAAAGCAGTGAGTATTGCATACTAGAAATGCTGGCGTTCTCAAGGATGTGTATTTTTTTTAATAATGTTTTTACTTCTGGATCTTTAATAGAAGTCTAGAACATTGCTTATTTTAAAACATGGGAAGGATACAAAGTGGAATAATTGCTTATTCTCTCAGATACTCTTAAAACAGATGTTGTGTGTTTTTATTGTTAAATGCATGGCAATGTGTGGTCACAGTCAAAGGTCACATAAGGTCAATCTGAAGTTGTGGCAGGTCCTGGGCATCATCTGTTGATGACACCCTTTCATGGCAGCACTAGGCTGCACGGCCCTGATCACTGAGAGGTAAGACTTAGATTCCAGCCGGTGTCAATCATTCTGTGTCTGTGGTGTAATTGCAACACAGCTGCAGACACGTAATTAGGACAGTGTGCAGCATTTTTTACATATAAAATGTGGTAGAGTTAATATCACACTTAATCTTTAAAAAACACCAAGGTGAGGCTTAAAAATTTTAGTATAGCCAGGCTCGGTGGCTCAGCCTGTAATCCCATGCTTTGGGAGGCTGAGATGAATGGATTGCCTGAGCCCACAGGTTCAAGACCCGCCTGGGCAACTTGGCGAGACCTCATCTCTACAATAAATCAAAAAATTAGCTGGGCGTGGTAGCGTGCGCCTGTAGTTCCAGCTACTTGGAAGGCTGAGGCAGAAGGATCACCGGAGCCCAGCAGGGCGAGGCTGCGGTGGCCGGGAACGTGCCACTGCACTCCAATCTGGGCGACAGAGTGAGAATCCAACTCAAAAAAAAAAAAAAATTTAGTGTAATACATATTCTCAAATTGGAGCTAAGTCACATTTCTTTTATAACTTTGTGGACATCTGGTCAAAAGGAGACGAGGTTTTCTGTTTACAGTGATGCAATAAACTCAACACGTGTTGGCCACCTTTGGACTGCCATTAGTGATTTGTAACTTGAAAAGGCCACGGTTGACCATGGCCCTACCTTCTCAGCCCTCGTAAGATGTGGACAAGAGCTTGATTGACCTACTGGACATAAAAGAATAAAGCCTACATTTTATCACAAGAGATGTCACTTGTTAACTTTTTTTTTCTAGTTTATTTGGTAACAAAGTTTGACCTAGGAATGAAGGTTCTTCAGTGCGCGACTGTTGTTGGACTTACTGTACTCTGGACATGTGGGCTGGCAGTCTTTGCATCATACAGAATCAATATTTGCCTTAAATCCCCAAACATAGGAAGTTACATTGAATTAGGTGATGGATGTTTTCGTCAGGAAGAGATAGACTTCTTTCTAAAAATAATATTCTCCTCAAATTAGTGTTGGATGGAGATTGAGGAACTGGGAAAACAGGACTCCCTCTGACATTCTGAACCCGAGCTCAGATGAGGGAACCTGGCTGCTGGGCTTTGCCAGTGAGAACTGGTAAATAAGGAAGTCCTGGCAATTTTAATCTGATCTCAGTCACACTTAACCTGGTATCTTGCTTGTCAGTGAATTGACACTGATACCCTTCACAGGACTGATTCGCTGACTTGCCAGGAAGTTCCAACCCTCCTCACTATCACCCTGCCGACCCCCTTGATTTCAAAACTGAAGGCTCTGTAGTCCCATGAGACCAACTTCTCTCTTTTTTTTGAGTTGGAGTCTCGCTCTGTTGCCCAGGCTGAAGTGCAGAGGCACGCTCCCGGCCACCGCAGCCTCGACCTGCTGGGCTCAGGCGATCCTTCTGCTTCAGCCTTCCCAGTAGCTGGAACTATAGGCACGCGCCACCATGCCTGGGTAGTTTTTTGATTTATCGTGGGGATGAGGTTTCACCAAGTTGCCCAGGCTGGTCTCAAATCCCCAATCTTAGGCAATCCTCTCACCTTGGGCTCCTAAAGTGCTGGGATTACAGGCTTGAGTCACCATGCCTGGCCGGTATCTCTACTGCGCAGGCCAGAGTGCAGTGGCATAATCACAGCTCACCTCAGCCTCAACCCCCTGGACTCAGGTGATCCTTCCACCTCCGCCTCCTGAGTAGCAGGGACGACAGGCGTGCACCACCACGCCCAGCTAATTTTTTGTAGAGACAAGTTCTCAGTATGTTGCCCAGCCTGGCCATGTGACTAAGTTTCTGTCTGGTTCTCAGCTCAATGCAGTGTCTGCTCTGCCCCATGCTGCCTCGTTTACAAAGACTGAACTTTCCAAAATTGTCAGGGGACCCTTCTGTCCCGGGTGCCAGGGCTGCAGTTTTCAAATGGGCGATGAGACCTAATCAGTGATTCCAGGGGACACAGCAGGCTGGCTTCCACAACACGGAGAACTGACACTTGGAGCCATCCTAGGAGGCCTGGGCCGCCCTAGAGAAACCCCGGGCAGGCCAGAGCCAAGATGCGGGGGGGAAGGGAGGGTGGGGTCCTGAGTCAACCCTGCAGCTAGGCTTCTGGGCTTGCTGAGTCATCCCTGGGCATTCTAGGCAGCATCCACACCCACGGCAGCCGAGGGCTTGTAGGCACACACGGTGTTGTGTCGCACAAGGCATGCTGAAGGCTCCTACAGCACCATCCTGCGGGCATCTCGGCTGTGCTTGAACGCCATGGCTGTGTGGCAGGAGCTCCATGCACCTGCCCACGTGAGTCCCCGTGCGGCTGGGCAAGAGGTCGGACCAGTCTCTGCCCCGCACGAGCTTTCATTCCAGCTTGGACTGACTGCACCTGCCAGGTCCTCACTCAGGTTCCGCTCATAAGGCCTCCGGGGGGAGGGGCTCTTCTCCCCCTTAAAAAATGTCTTCAGCCAGATGCGGTGGCTCACGTCTATAATGCCAGCACTTTGGGAGGCTGAGGTGAGAGGACTGCCTGAGCCCGCGGGTTTGAGGCCAGCCGGGCAACTTGGCAAGACCACATCTCTACAATAAATCAAAAAATTGGCTGGGCACGGTGGCTCACACCTATAATCCCAACACTTTGGGAGGCCGAGGTGAGAGGACTGCCTGAGCCCTTGGGTTTGAGACCAACCTGGGCAACTTGGCGAGACCTCTACAGTAAATCAAGAAAAATCAGCCGGGCGTGGTGGCACATGCCTGCAGTTCCAGCTACTTGGAAGGCTGAGGCGGAAAGATCACCTGAACCCAGCAGGTCAAGGCTGCGGTGGCGGTGAGTGCCACTGCCCTCCAGCCTGGGCAACGGAGTGAGACGCCAACTCAAAA